CAAAACATTTGTGATGATAATCAAATGGTCAAACAATTTTTGTTGATTTTGTTGCAGAAATAATTAGTAAATAGGAATATAACAAAGTAGATGATTCGGTTCATTGAACCACAAAAGGAAATTCCTGCTATTAAGCTTCTTGTGGTACTGTATTCGTATATAAAACTATCATACTTTTCCCCTTACTTTGAATCAAGTGCATGCCAGTAAGCTTTAAAACATTGAAAACGATTGACTTTAGGAAATGCAGTGTATCGTTTTGATTATTGTTAATGAAAACAACAATGGACCGCAAATGGAAGGCGTCGGGGATTGGGGGTTAGGTTTAGAACAAAACAAAGAATTCCAGAGGGATTTAGCAGCGGGCCCCACAAAAGATACAGTTGTGGGTTTTGAAGCGGGCCCTGGGCCGGCCAATGCGGAGCAGAGTGAGCCCAACGTTTCTGATTGATGTACCAATTTTGTTATTTTCGACAGAGGCCAAGACCACGCGCCTAGTTTCACACGCACCCTTGGCTCGGCACCCACAATCATTCTATTTGTCATTGTCCGTCTACTCCATTGAGCGTGGCTTATGGGAGGAGGATGTCGTAGGTACAAGAAGCAGGCACACCTTGCAATCCGTGCGCTTTCTTTTTTTCATTTTTAAGGTTGATTTTTGTTTTTGTTATTTTAATTTTTTTGGGTTTTTCTCTTTACAAACATACTCGACAAACATGATCGATCAAAACTTCAAATGTAATGGTGAATGCTCTTAATTACAGATCACTGAAGTTACAAGTCTTTTTATTGTTTTTGGATTTCTTAAGCTCTATAAAAATGAATTTTTGAGAGCAAGGACGGATCCAGAATTTCAAAATATAGTGTGCTAGATGTACCGTACGAGTGAGCTGTTAAATTTTGAGGTATGTTAAGCCTTAAAACTCTATAACAAATAAACAAAAAAATTCATTTGGGTTATAGCTGAGGTTAGACACTGCTCACGTACTTAGTTGAAAGCTAAGTTGCGTGAGTGTGGAGAAAAACTTTCCTGATATTTACGAATGCAATGCACGTTTCTATCTATCTCATTTCTCACTCAACTAATCAAATGAGCATGCATACGTACGTTTACACACTAAAGTTTTTCTGGTGAGTGTGGCCCATTCATTCAAAGGTTTACTCAGTATGTTGAATGTATTAAGTCAGAGGGAGAAGAAGCCAACCTAACCTTGTATATGAAAGAGAGCACACACAGTGCTCTCACTGTCGTACTTTTTACTCCAGTTGTTGCCTCAAGATTGTCATGAATGCCAAGGCTGACTACTTGGGCTAAAAACAAAAGAAGCACATAGTATATGGAGAAATATAAGGTTGCTAATCAAATGGAATCAAAATCAAGTCAAGTCAAATCATGCCCAAAATTACTGTCGGGTTCAAGAACAAGAATTCCTCTTTCAAAGTACTACTTGAAGGGATTCAAAGCATTAAGCAATTAATGTAGGAGCTACTGTAAAACTGATTAGAAGAGTTGAAGCTTAGCAGTGCATCAGCTATGGATAGAGAGAGAGAAGTAAGGTAGAAAAAGAAGAAAGACTGATGGTCTAAATTGGAGAGAGATAGAAAGACAAAGATATATGCACTCAGGAGCAACAGATAAGAGCAAATAAGTTGTGGGGATGATGGAGAGATAAATGATGATATGAACTCATGAGCAACATACAAGAGCAGAGAGAAGTTGTTGGGATGATGGCCCTTCATGAGGCCTTAGAAGCTTCTACTTAGGATATACGTAATTTCACTGTTTTGTCACTCAATATTGTCATATAACACAAACAACCTATGCACGGTTTTGTCACTTTATCTTAAATTACATCCAAACTCACCTTGTTTAGCTCTGGAATATCAGCTTACATGAGTTGTTATTAATGAATGCTTGAAATTTTGAATGTATATCTATATTTTTTTTTTATCAACAAAAGAAGAAATTTCCTTCAACAAATAAGCACAACTTGTTAGCTCTTGATCATATCAATCCTCTATTGTTTTAAAAAAAAAATTAACAATAGAGAAAAAGATTGAAACTCGAAACTCCAAAGTACCAAAACACCAATGATTTGTTTACTAATTAGGAATTAGAATTCTCATGAAGAATTGAATTCCACATAGGAAGGATTCTTGCATTTATTTCACATCAATGAATTAAAAAGTAAGTGGGACCCACACAAAATTAGGAATTGAATTTCTAATTTTGGAGGAATTCAATTCTTGTGGTATTCTAATTCATGGATAACTAACCCATTAAAAATTCATCTTCTTTACCCATTATATCCTCACTTGATTATAAAAATTACAAATTTGTCATCTATTTTAACCCAACAACGAGGACATTTTATAATTAGTACCACTCATATCCCAATTCCATATGATTTAGTAAACAACTACGATAGGAATCCGAAATCTAATTCACATCAATCCATATGATTTAGTACACAACTTCAATAGGAATCCAAAATCTAATTCTCCTCAGTTCAACTCCTCTTTAATTTAGTTCATACTCAATTCAATTACTCATAATCTGTATGGATTAGTAAACTGCTATAAATTGATTTTTAGTCTCAAATCTAATTTTTGAGTAATGAACTCTTTTTTTGTTCTTTTTCTGAAGGAATATTTGGGTAAGTAACCTAAAAACAAAAGTATGCATCAGCAAAAACTTTCCAAGTATATAAAAATGTGTAATATTTTGGGTATTATCAAACTTCGTGCGCGCGCACACCAGCCCTGCAATTCGTGCGTTTCGCTTTCTTTATGTGAAACGATACACAGACTCACTGCCATGGCACGTGAGCACGTGACACCTTAATCTCCATTATTCTTTCTCTCAACTTCCGTTAATTACTATTTTTCGATGTACAACTCTGCAAAGCGCAAGCCGACCACCCTATCAAAATTTCCACAGGGCCACCGTTTTGTGTGAAAGACAATATTACCCATGCCATGCCCTCTCTTTCATTCTACAAATATTCTTAAAACTCTATTATTTGAGTTGGTTGCAACATTCATTTTGTCAAAAACTAGTTTGGATTTTCTAGTGTTTAAATTGGATTACATTGTTGATCATAATAAAATTGGATTACATTTGAGTCTGAGCAAATTAAAAAAATAAAATTGTTGGAGTTTACTGTTTGTGAATTGAAGAACGTCAATGGGTTCATAGCTCAATAATAAAAGTATTTAGTTGCAGATCTGTGGTCTCAAATTCGAACATCAATCACACTTCTCTCCACCTTTCAAATTTTGAACAAATAAAAATAATTGAAGGGGCAAATTTGACGTTTTGATCACCTTAGCCATGAAGTTAGGTGAGGCAAGCAGTGCGAGGGGAGTGCTCAAATGGTATAAGCCATTTGGATACTCATGACCGTACAATATTTAATTATGATTAGACTAGGTGTTTTGTCCTTGCAAACTGACATAACAACAATATCATATTGTCTTAAAATATTAATCCAAATCTAACCATCTGTATCCACCTTATCACCTTTGACTGGTAAAGATTCCGTGCCATCCCAATTGTTTTAGTTATCTTTCATCTTTGATATTCGAGAATTATTGAGCTCAAATGGGTAACTTTGGCAAGAAATAGGTTTCTTATAGTTGGATTGACGTGCATCCACCCAGTCCTCTCATTTCTTTACAATTAAGTTTGAGAATGTAATAATTGTTTAACATAATATCTGTATTTTCGTTTTAGCAGGTCCGAGTCTTAATTTCCAATTTATATTAACGTTACGTTTGTTTAGCTTTTAACATATATGAGATGAATAATGTTTTAAAGTACAAGCGATGGTGTAAAGGGAGTTTGAAATTGAGATCTTTAATTTGAAATCAATACCTTTTTTCATTCGGCTAGACCCGTTGACATGAGATGAATGATAGTAGTATGGTTATTTAAAACTTTTTTAAAGTCCAATGATTATTTAAGAACTAAGAAATACTTGCTATGTACCACAATTCAACAAGCAAGCGATGAGGGGAGAAAAATATTGGTGGGTTGTCCTTTTTATGTCCAAATGCATTGCTAACTGTCAAACTCCAGCTTCAAAGCACAATTAGGAGCCGAATGTTGGTGAAAGAAAATGAAACTTTTCCCAAACACAAAGTTCAATTCTACTATTCAGCATTCAATTTTTCCCGATATTTGCTGCTTAATCAGTGGCTTAAAGTGGAATTGCATGGCAGCAAAACCATTTATGATGTCTGTTTACCACTCAAAAAAATTAACTTTTTGAAATATTTTTAGCAAAGGGTTTGTACTAAATATTTTTTCTTGCTTTTTATTTTTTGTTGTTGTCGTCTATTGTGCAATTAATTTCAACACCACTGTTAATGGTGCAATCATAGGCCTATAATTTTGACATAATACAAGGAAAGCAAGATATGATGCTGAAATGTAGTTGGCTAAAACAGCATCATCCAACAGTAAAAAGATTATTAGGACCAAAGGCAAAGCAAAACCCCCCAGAAAAATTATAAATTAAAGGAACAGAAAAATGGGTTGTTGGGGAGCTCAGCAGTTTGACTGGCTCATTCATCCAGAGGGTTAAACAGCATCAGCATGCATGGTAAATATTATGCCAAATTCAACAGAAAGACTTGTATGAAGGGGTTTTGTTATTTTCGGCCAATCACAGGCTATCATGTGGAAAAATAATCATACGTAACATACAGTGATTGGTCGGAAATACCAACATAGTACTATCCCATTTCATGTAAGTGCGTCTCCAAATTCAGACGGAAAATCGAACACTTTAACTGACAATGCTAAGAAAATGGCAAAATGGTAATTCCACTATAATCTCTTACTTTACTGTTCTGCTTTTGTAAGAGACAGAGAGCAGGGAAAAAAGCTGACCCCACTATTTATATTTTCCAAGGCTTAAATACTTACAAGACCCAAAACCCCCCACTTTCTACTCTTCCACGGCTGTTTTTGTTTTTTAACCTCATCTCTGTCAAGAAATACCAAGCCTGACTACTTGGGACAAACAAAACAAGAGTAGTAAAGAAAGACAAGGTGTCTAAACAAAAAATAAAAAATAGAAATCAAACACAGAGAGAGAGAGAGAGAGAGAGAGAGATGAATAAAGGGTGTGCTTTGTGGTGGTTAAGCAATGTGCAGGTGCCAAAGAAGATAGAAAATTTAAGCTGAGTTTGAATGAGAAGTAAGCAGGCTAGTTGGCAGTGTTCCCAGGCAGAGAGATAAATAGATAGAAAGAAAGAAAGAGAAAAAAGAAGAAAGGGAGGTGGTGGTCTTAAAATTGGACAAGTGAAAGAGGCAAAAAAAAGAAAAGAAAAGTCATAGAAAGAGAAAGAGATAGAGATTGAGATGGTGGGCTCAGGAGCAACAGATAGGAGCAAAGAAGCTGTTGGGATGATGGCCCTTCATGAGGCCCTCAGAAGCGTCTGTCTCAACACAGACTGGACTTACTCTGTCTTCTGGACCATCCGTCCACGCCCGTATGTCTCTTCTCTCTCTCTCTCTCTCTCTCTCTCTCTCTCTCTCTCTTAAAGTTCTCTTCTTTCTCTGTCTGTCTACACTTGATCTGATGTTTAGCTTTGGATGCTTTGATTTCTAGCTGTTTTCTTTGTTAATTCATTAATTTGTTTTGTTGCAGGAGAGTCAGAGGAGGTAATGGCTGCAAGGTTGGGGATGACAATGGCAGCTTGTAAGTACATAATATATGGTTGCTTTATGTAAAATGGGAATTAAACTTTATTTGAACTACTAAGCTCAACTTGGTTAGCTATCCAATTCAATTTTTGCTCTGTTTTCTCTCTGCTTCTCTAAGAAACAGGGTGAAAGCCAGAGGAGTTGACTAGGAATCTTATTTTTTATATGAACATGAGTTTTTAGAAATGGGTTTTTGGTAATTTTGTGATTTTAGTGTTGTTTATGAAATTTGGTGAAGGATGTTGATGTGGGAAGATGGGTTTTGTCGAGGAAGGGTTTCATCAGATTGTCTTGAAGATATTGACGGAGAAGATCCTGTCAGGAAAGCCTTCAGCAAAATGTCCATTCAGCTGTATAATTATGGAGAGGGGTGTGTGCTTGGTATGTGTTTTTTTGTTGTGGTTTCTTCTCCTCTCTCTCTCTCTCTCTCTCTCTCTCTCTCTCTCTCTACATGAAAATCTTGCAGGACATAAAATATGGTGTTTTCTTTGGTTATGGGAAATAAGTTCTTCTTGTATTTGTGCTGTCATTGGTTGCACTGAATTCAACACAGGTTGATGGGGAAGGTTGCATCTGATAAGTGCCACAAATGGGTTTTCAAAGAACCTACAGAGTGTGAACCAAACATCTCCAACTACTGGCAAAGTTCTTTTGATGCTGTATGTAATAAAAGCCAGTCTTTTTTCTCCCTTTCACGTATATATTTGTCAAAGTAGGCAAGCTGGAATTAGCACAAGTTTGTGCTTAGCTAGCACATATTAATGACTGATGGTAACCTTCCTTTTTTATGCTATTTATTGCAGCTTCCTCCTGAATGGACTGATCAGTTTGAGTCGGGCATTCAGGTCAGAACAGAAACATTTACTGCTTCAATTATTGATCTCATCATTTTGGTGTAATTTTTTTTAACAGTTAATTTATTTTACCAGACAATTGCTGTAATTCAAGCTGGTCATGGTCTTCTACAGTTGGGCTCCTGCAAGATTGTGAGATATATATATATATATATATATATATATTTTATTTTCCCATTAATAATTGCTTTAATGCTGCAAATTCACACTAACACGAGGACATGCACAATATGTATATCAGATACCAGAAGACCTTCACTTTGTGCTAAGAATGAGGCATACCTTTGAGTCTCTAGGCTACCAATCTGGTTTTTACCTCTCCCAACTATTTTCCTCTACCAGAAACAACTCTGCCTCATCAGTGCTTCCTTCAAAGCTGTCCCCAATTCCGATCCGGCCTCCTCCTCCTCTCTTCAATTGGGCTCAAAGGCCTCTTCCATCTGCAACAGCTATGCAGCTGCCTTCCCCCAACAGTTTCCAGAACTCTGCAGCCAGACTTGGATACAATCCACAGGCCAATAAAGACGAGACACACATGTTTTTGCTGCCTCATTCAGCTGAAACACAAATCGGAGGAGACATGATGGGAGGAGGAGGAGGAGGAGGAGGAGGAGAGCATGAAAATGACATCAAATGGCCAAATGGATTGTCTTTCTTCAATGCCCTCACGGGACGTTCCGATGATGCAAAGCTTTTGTTCAATCCGGAGAACTTGGGAAACAAAGGTGGAGACGAAAATCACCACCACAACCCGAATCCAAACTCAGATCATGCTTCGAATCACGAGTTTTTGAGCTTGGATTGCCACCCGGATAGTAGTGCGAGGAAGAACATGGAGAACAAGTACAAGAGGAGCTTTACTTTGCCTGCAAGAATGGCTTCATCATCTTCAAACTCAGTTGATCACCATCAGCACCAATCTGTGGGGTATCGAAATGCTGAAGCTGGTATGTACTCTGATGTTATGGAGACTTTCTTGGAGTGAAATGGGAAGGGAGGATTGTATTAGAGGGACAATGGGTGAGGAGTTGTATGTAGGCAAAGCTTTTGAGCTCCTTTGCTGCTTATACTTCTGTGATCGATTTCATGTTCTAGCTCTTTATATGTTTATGTGTTTTCATCCCAGTTAGTGAGACTTAATTAGAGATCATTTTGTACTTCTTGTTCATCCCAAGAAGAATTTCCCTCCTTTCTTTTGTTCTTCTAACTCTCACTAAGGTCATGGAATGTAAAATAGAAAATAAACATAGAAGAAAATCAACACAATCATGCCAAGTTGGTTCAAGTAATCAAAGCTTATCCAATTCCAGCAGTAATGGGCTTGAAGAAATTCATAATGTCCAAAATGCTCAAGAAAATAAAACTATTTGAATACACAGTTACAGATACACATTGTCACTGGGAGTCTCACATCCATTGTTTAGCTTTATTGCTGGGAGAGAGAGTCTACATCACAATTTTTGGAAATCCAATTTTGCTACTGATTCTCTGGCTAGGGTTATCTATAACAAGGAGTTGGGCCTCTACATTCGTACTTGAGTGTGTGGTGGCGAGTTCACTGACCTAGTCAACTGGCCGAACATGTCTAGACCTAGAGTTGTTGAAGCTTTTATGAAGGCTAAGATACTGGGGGAAAACTCTCTGTATTTGAAATTGGATTTCAATAGAGTCGTTGACAGAGTCTGTGCTTGATCCAATACTTTTGTTGGGTTGGTTATAACTTATAACTGAGGCCACATGCATTTAAAAAAAAAAAAGACTCTTTAGTATCTACTTTTCCAAATTAACAAGCGATCACGACAAGCCTTGGCTTTTAGATAAAGATTTGGTTGACTGATCACTATTCAGTCAACCAACTAGTTTATGTTTCCAAAGGATTCATGGAAGAATATCATTGCCATATCAACAGCTTCAACTTCAAGATTAAACGCTCGCTCTGAAGAATTTGAAACAATAACCGAACACATTGTGACAAAAGCTCTATTTTAACAAGCCAAATTGCTTTTGCTGGTTAACGTTCCCAGAATATATATATTTCCTTTTGCTTTTCTTCAAAGTCGAAAGTGATCAAAAGCCAAAGCCAAAGCTAAAGTATAAAGCCAGTTATCTACTTTCAAAGCAAACTTCAAAATCCTAACCTCAAACCCATGAACAAATTACAAAACTTGATAAACAAGTTTTAAAAAAAATCATTTTTCACTTCACATGTATCAATTCGCAGCTTTAATTAATTACATGATCGCTACTTTTATTGGACGGTTCCATTGCGTGACACTTTCTGCAGGTCCAAACAAGCCACCGGAAAAATCTCCGGCCAAAACTCCGGGGGACCACCACCGTCTTCACCCGGACTTTTCTCTTCCCTTTGATAGGTTTCTCCTTCCCTTCAAGCTGATCCATTTTCGCCTTCTTCCTAGAATTGTCACGGCTTAAAGAAGCCGGTACAGGCACAGCTGTTATGAATTGCCATCTCTGAGAAGAACCATAAACTTGTCCACCTCCGAGATTATTAGCTCTGTTTCCTTTGTATCTATCTGATGAAGCTCTAGAACCCAATTTGTTTTGGTGCACCAATTTCCTCTCAGAGTTGTCGCTTGAGCTTGTCCTTGCGCTGCTGCTGCAGCTGCTGCTCCTGCTGTTGGTGCTATTGCTTCTTGAGGACATGAGAGAGTCCTTGCTGCTAATGCTGCTCGTCCGGCTTGTTCTCCGTGAATTACTATCGACACCCATAAAACCGTTGCTAATTGGTTGAAATGGGAAGGCATGTGGTAAGAGCCTGCCATTGAAGAACAAATGGTCTGCAGGGGAGTCTTTGCAGGGATCAGTGCTGGAGGCTGAGTCAGGGGTGAAGCATCCGAATTCGAAATCGGAGTCTTGCTCGTGGATCGGGGTGCTCGGAAAGGAGAATGTGTCGCCGGAGGTGCTCTTTTGCCGGCAGTTTTCCATGGATGGTTTTTTCAGGGAGAGAGAGGAGGTTGGTGTATTTGCATGGGACAGGTTGTATATTTATAAGAAGGTTTAATTAGGGGTAGAAAAAAGTGAGGGAAATTCGGGTTTCTTTTGATATGGGTGAGACACGTGGAGTGATCTTGACCCTATGTTGGTTGAGATGGGCAAGGGTTTTGGTGGTGTGAATCATGAAGTCCTATTTGCCAACTCAATGTTAAATTCAATACTTATGGTGGGGTTGCAATAACACTCAGTCTCGTAGTGTGGGAAGGAAGTGTGTTAAATCATAAATGATGTTGTGAGGTTTAACACTTTTTAGTCAAACATGGAAACCCATATAGTAGGATGGCCCGCAATCCAGCATCGGTAGTCTAACTCAGATGGATTGCACCCCAAGCATAATTCATTTCATAAATAGGTATTATATCCTTGAATATGAGTATGCTAACCAAAATTACTACATTGACTACAATACAAAATTATTTGGATAATATTGATTGACCGCAGGGTTGAATTGCATCGAATTCACTTATCTGTAATAAATGTAATCATTAAATATGGTACATGTAACATCACTCTTGAGTTGAAATATAATGATAAATCGAACTATGAGACGTAATTAGTCTGTGATATTACAACAAAACTCAAGTAAGGGGGAATTTACACAAAACTCATGTATCTGCTGTGAGATATGTGATAACTAAAATGCGATATATGTAGCATTATTTCAAAGCTGAAAAGTTATTAATGCTTGGTATTACAACAATATAGGACCATAGAGCGGCTAATAGGTTTAATCAGTGGATCAGAATTCTTGATCTTGTGTCTTTGCCATAAGATATAAAATCTTGAAAGCACATAAATATCTCAAACCTTTGTTTGTTTATTCCTAATTCAATGGATTCCCCTTTAATCCCTGTCCACTTGCTTTTGTTATTTTGTTCAAGGGTGCAGCCCCCCAAAAATACTTGGTTCCACATCTAAAGCAGAAAGGGGTCTCTGATCGGGGGAGAGAGAGTCGACATAATAACAAGCATATTGGATTGTCTAGGCTTTTACAAAACCAAGCAATGATGGAATCAGCATACATAGCTTCCTTTGTGTCGTTGAAGCAAAGGCTCCTCCTCTCCTCTCCTCTTCCCCATAGGGGCTTTTATTAAATGGGAGGAAATTTTATACAATTTGATCAAACACTTTGATTTCTCCCAAACATGGAGACAAAGTGGCTCTTAGAAAATTCTTTGGTCTCCTATTTGGGTTGCTGTGGAGAACCCATGGGCCCTTTTGAGCTCATCATGCTCCGGGGACCACAGGTCAGCCAGATTTAGTCAGTCTTCTTCCTTCCACCCACCCCACACGCATACGCAAAACAATGTTTGTTACTCTTCTTGCTTGGATGATACTCTAATTATGCAATGTGGTAGGTCCATGCTCTTCCTTGCTCAATACCCCTATTTTGTTTTTTTTATTAGGTTAGGTAAACACTCATCTTGCTTTGGTGACTCTTTCTTGTTAGAGAGTATATTTTCAAGTCTCGTATTACACTATATATTATGTAATGGGTTTTTAGATTTCATTACCAATTGGTTTTGGTTGGATGTTTGATTTTGTAATTGTGTTAAGAGTATAATCCACGAGTTAGACCCAACGGCCACACATGACCCCTTCGGATGATTTTGGGATTGTCAAACTATCAACATAAATTATTGATTAAGTGGTGATAGAATTAAAAACCGAAATAATCGATTGCATGGTGATATAAGTGGATGCTTTTTTCAAAGATTTCTAGGATCCAAATAATTTGTTAGGTCCATTTGAGTAGCACTGAACATTGGGCTACAAAAACTATCCCAGCCCAAGTAGGGGCCATGAGGTGATGGTTCAGTTCAAAGTCCAAAGTCGAAGTGGATATCTATGGCCTAAACCCTTGTAAGTTTGCCCCTATTGAGGATGAGACCTACATACATGGCCTGATAACCGTGTCTGTATCTTTTAGGAAAGGGCATCACGAGAGAGAGATGAAGGCTCGCTTGACCTGCATGATTGAATTGGATTATTATAAAATTTGACATTGGGGGGGATAATCGGTGGTCAAATAATGCTACATGATTTTGGCAATATTGTGGGGATGACTTAGATCGGCCTAGACTCATACTCAGAATCTGATACCAAGCCAAGGCTTCGAACTCCATGCCTCAGACCAATAGTCAAACCTTAGACTTTGGACTATAACACATGAAAAATGATAAGTTTTGAATCGAATCCGAATGATTCAAACCCCTTTTATTTATTTATTTTTTACCAAATGCTTTCCCTATCTTTTATACTATTTTATGACATTCACATGATAATAACGTAGATACATCTATATATATATATATATATATATTTCTCTCTCAAATTTCTATATCTTCAAAGGCAAGAAATTTTTTCCACTATTACTTAATTTTAAGATGAATTTCCTTTGATATATGTAAGAATATGTAGAATATTTGCTTAACTTCTTATGAAGGAAAAATACCGAACCAAATCAATCACTAAATGAACTAATTTGGTTCAGTAATGCTACTCATTTGAGGCCTAAATCGAACCAACCAGAATAATGATATAACATTAGATCGATAAGTATTTTGAGGCCAAGAACTAACCGAACCACAACCACCCTAGAAAAAATTTAGTTCACGTATTGTGGATGGGCATGGTTCTGTTTAGCCCACCTTCGCCTCTCAACTGACGACGTGATATGAACAAATCTCAAGATGCATAGGCTTCGACACATGTGGTGAAATATGGTTTCTTTGTTGGAGTCTTCAACGATAAGGGACATGGTGTGGATAAATAGATATGAAGCCAGGGTGAGAGAGACAAATGCGAGATAACTTTGGAAAATGAAGTTTTGTATTGTGGTGGGAGAAATGAGGTTTGATGATTGGTGGCGTTTGTTATCAGGGTTCGAGGAATGAAGGAGACAAAGATAGGAAATGAGAAGAGATGAGTGGCTATAAATGGAAAGTGAGAATTTAACAAGTGGGTGAATTAGAATGCAACGATATCTGTCTTTTATGGTGTGTTTACTAAACATGAATTAGAATTCTCATCAAGAATTGAATTCCATATATGGAGGATTCTTACGTTTACTTCACATTAAATAATTGAAAAGTAAGTGGGGCCCATACAAAATTAAAAATTGAATTCCTGATTTTGGAGGAATTCAATTCTTGGCTGGGAGGTGGTATTATAATTCCTGAAGAACTAACCCATTAAGAATTCATCTTTTTTACCAATTATATCCTCACATAATTTTCAAAATTCCAAATTTGCCATCTACTTTAACCAAACAACGGGAACATTTTAGTAATTAGTACAACTCCTACTCCAATTCCATATGATTTAGTAAACAACTTCAATAAAAATTCATAATCTAATTCTCTTCCATTTAATTCATCATTATCTAATTACAGATTAGTAAACATGTGAGTAGGCTTATTAAAATCAAAATTGCAGGCAAACTGATTCATGCGAAATATATAGAAAAAAAAGAAAAAGAAAAGAGAACTGCCCAAATCGACCGAATCAATTCAATCGGTCCAATTCGATCGATCCAATTCGGTCGGTTCGATTGGTTCACCCATTATCCCCCACCCTTATCATGTAGAACAGTAAGATTGGCTATTTCCGTCAAGTACAACTACTATGATTGGCCAAACCTCGGATGTCCAGTCCCACTCCTCCTATCCCCTTTAAACAAACGGGAAAGGGTGAGAATCGTATTTTTGGAAATACCGTTTGAAAAGTTATGCCTTTACCATATGCTTATTATTCTCGATATACGTTATTTTTTTTTTTTTTCTTAAATAAAAAGTCAATAGTCAACAGTGTATAATCAAATCCAATAATTGTTACTACTCAATTTATTAATAAAAATACAATATTGACCCTTGAAAATAATTTAATCCTAACGTGCGTGTCATGATGCACGCGACCCAGTGACGCGTCATTGCTGTTTCGCCTGCTCTTACCTTCGTAATTATTTATACTCCCATCCCATCGTTTCTCGTAATTTATTTACACTTCTATCGTTTCTCGTAATTATTTATTCAAAGCAAAAAGGAAAGAAAAAAGAAAAAAGAAAAAAATTAAAAAAAGACAAGTCGCGGCGCGAACGCGTCTTTGATTAATGCAGAGAACGCGGCATAGAATTGGAAGAGAAAGGCTGGAAACAGAGAGGTCGTGTCAACACAAGCATCATCCTCATCCTCAACTCTTCTTCACACTTCTCTCTCTCTCTATCTCTCTCCTCCTCCTCTGTGACCTGATTGTTGTTGTTTGTCCATCTCTCTCTCTTTTTCTTTCGTGGCCACTGTGAATTCCATTTCCATTTTCTGTTTCAATTTTAATTGAATAGTTTTATACGTATAAGGCTCCACAACAAGACAGCCATGACCGGCAGAGAAATTCTCAATAAGATGAAGGTATGTTGTGTGCTACATGTGTACTTACACTGCTTCATGTTTGATGTATGTGCTTTAATGAGTTTTAATCCTTTTCTCAATTGGCTTACTGATTTGTTCATTATTTGGCTTGTTCTTGATATCTGCCTGATCTGCAATTTGATTTGCATCCACACCCATGTAGACAAATTATTGCAGATCTTTGTGGTTTATATATTATTGACAATAACCCATTTCTCTAAATTGTCTTGTGTTGCAATTTTAGATCTGAAACTCTGATGTTTCTCTGGCTCTTGCTACCTTGGGTTTATGGATGTTGCAAGAGGAAAAACCCTTTCTATGATCTCCAAAACCCCACTCTTCCTTTTGCTCTTGCTACTTTGGGTTTATGGGTGTTGCAAACATCATGTTTTATTTACTTCACTTAGGAGGATTAAAATGCAGTATGGAATCTTAGTGAAATTAATCAAGACTAAATAAAAGAGAGGAGAGTAGGTACTTGGAGCCAAAGACAGAACATTTAAAAAGATGTATAAGTAAAATTCATCTACTTTTTTTTTATTGCTCTGCTTTGATTATTTTTATTTCTGGAAGCGGCCAGCAGGGTTTTGTGTAGCCTTTTCAGAAATTTGTATTTCACATTGAAAGGATTAAAACTACTTTAGAAGCTATAGGTTTCTATCTTTAATTTTTTCCCCTTTTGGACTAGTTAACCTAATATCAACAATTGTAGTACGCTTTATGGGTACCTAGCAATTAGAGTAGAAAATAAAATTGATCAGTTTTTAACTAGCTTCTCAAAATATGTAGGCTTTTTTCTCTCTCTCTCTCTCTCTCTCTCTCTCTCTCTCTTGTGCTTTGTCTTGTTAAATGTGATTGCTTTTCAACGTTGTCTTGCTCGTTGCCTATAAAAAATACATACCCTGATATTTTGGTTTAAGCTTTCTGATTGAGAATCTAAATGTGAGTTTGTTTAATGTAGGAGAAAGTTTTAGGTCCATCAGACCCCGACTCTGGAAAAGGAAAGAGCAAAATGTCACACCATATAACACATGGCTTCCACTTGGTAAAGGGAAAATCCCATCATGCTATGGAAGACTATGTTGTTGCACAGTTTAAGCAAATCGATGACCATGAGCTAGGACTATTTGCAATTTTTGATGGCCATTTGAGCCATGAAATTCCTGAATACTTGCAGTCCAATCTCTTTAACAATATCTTAACAGAGGTAATGTATGCGGTAGTATCATGATATATATTTTTACGTTCTTTCATTTTGTAGTTTGCTAGAAGCTGTTGTAGTTAAACGATGTTAGACATCAACATTTCACTCTCTTTATTGTCTTGGTCTTTGTTTCTCCTTTCCCCAGCCTGATTTCTGGACAGAAACGGAGAATGCAGTCAGGAGAGCATATTGTGTAACAGATACTAACATTCTGGAGAAGGCAGTTGATTTGGGAAAAGGGGGTTCAACTGCAGTTACGGCCATATTAATTGACTGCCAGAAGCTGGTGGTAGCCAATGTTGGGGATTCTCGAGCTATTATTTGCAACAATGGTGTAGCAAAACAACTATCTGTTGATCATGAGCCTAGCACAGAAAGAGAAGAAATTGAGAACAGAGGTGGTTTCGTGTCAAACTTTCCAGGTGATAAGATTTCTGAGAATCCAAATTAATCTGTTTGGAAACCAAATGAAAAAATCCTCTGTTTTTGAATACCATTTAAAATGGTTTAACGTATGACAGTTTGATTTTGATAGAGTGATTCGTGAGTCGCATGGATTTTAATAGGATTCGAGTTTTGTTGCTATCAATCTATTCTATGGCACTCTTAAGTTGGATTTGAGGTTCACCCAATTAATGTACTTGAGAGTTGAGACCTTAAGTTGCATATTTACCATTGTTGAGATTGATCATAAAGCCTAATCAATTTTTGTTCTTTAGTTCTCATTAATTTTCAACATTGAATTGTTTTCTTCCATCTATGGTAGTATTAACATTGTGATTCTGATGGATTCAGGGGATGTTCCACGGGTTGATGGGCAGTTGGCGGTAGCAAGAGCGTTTGGTGACAAGAGCTTGAAGAAACATCTCAGTTCTGAACCTCATGTAATGGTGGCTTTAATAGAAGAGAAGACAGAGTTCATTGTCTTGGCAAGTGATGGACTATGGAAGGTTGGTTTATTTGAAATTATGACAAAAATATCTACAATTGCAAACTGCAAATATAACCAATAGACCATAGCATGTTGAATCCGAAGAATCGGATTTCTGCATATCATGTTGTACTTTGAATGAACTTGAAATTTCTTTATATAATTTGATTTCAGGTGATGTCGAACCAAGAAGTTGCGGATTCTATCAAAGATATAAAGGATGCCCGGGCCGCAGCGAAGCACCTTACAGAAGAGGCTGTGAATAGGAAGAGCTCTGATGATATTTCTTGTGTAGTTGTAAGATTTCAGTGAATGCATAAGTTCTATTTGGTATGTATTTTGTCTAATTTTTAACTTGGTTTTCAATGATGTATTAGATATGTTGTATTCATAAACAGCTATGGCATTGAAGTGTGCTTGACGTGTATCTTGTGCCCCTTTCGTGTTATAATCCCTTCATCATTGTTTTGGAGATTCGTACATGCCACAACAAAAATAGCCAAAATTTAGCTATGGATGGACAAAACAATCTTTTATTTGCAGAATTTAACTTGTTCTGCAGTTTGAGAATTTGAGAGTTGGCTAGACTTGAAGAGGAGTTTTTGTCCATGCAACTCATATTTTGCTTGAAACTCCAGCTATTTTATAATTAAAAAAATAATGACAGAGGAGATTATTGCTGGATTATATGATTAATGTCTTTCTTCCAATAGAAAAAGTATGAAATTTTGGAAAATATCCCGGAGAAAGTGTTTGACATGGTGACAAAGATAAAGTGGATAAGCCATCACAATAAAACAAAGCTTTTGCAGACAAAAAGGCAGCTAAGGAAGATGACGCTTGGCAACTGGCAAGGGAAAAATATATGGAAGGAAAGCTAAGTTGTCGTTTGGTATGGAAAATATCTGCAATAAGACATCCCATAGGTGACCCGGTATGGCCAGCACGAAGCATACCTTAGTCTTAATGGTTGTGATATCCAAATGGAAGTCAATATATATTTATGAAGGAGTAGATTGCAGACACAACACAAGCCAACGAGTCATTTTCAGCCTCTTATTTATTGTCATAGCAGCTCTAAGTCTTCGCCATATTAATACTTTTTAGATTTTTATTCAACGATTTAGTAATTGTCTCAGGACTCGTTTGATAGTGCTTTTAGAATTACTAAAAATTTTATGACAGAAAATAGCAAAATAGTTAAAAGATTATAAAAGAACTCTCGGACTTTTAATAAAAAAACGCTTATGAGCATAATTGCTTCACTATCCCAAACACGTATACAAACCAAGAGGCTAGACTAAACACTCTCACAACACATTAGCTTTAAAAGCTTACATAGTCCACATGTAATGGCCTACAAACAAAGCATACCGCATACCAACTTAAGGTTGTAGCTAGGTTGACAGATGCATAGTACTTCCCTCGAATGATATAATTATTGTTCTCAATGATAAGCATCGGAACAAACATAGTTTGCAAAAAGCCATGGATGACAGAAGAGAGGGAGCATGCAGAGAGCAGACAAGCTCAAAATGCCCTCATCTGATCTGGAATTGCTTGGAAGCAACCCCTCTTCGGCTTGAGCCTTCTCCATAAGGTTCACCCGAGCTCTTGCGGCGCCGCTCATTGTGGCCGGCCAAACGCCGGCGACAGCTCCTCTTTGCTTCGTCGAACTCGGTTAGCTCATGGAACCTGTTCGGTGCAGCCACACAATGACAAGTTCTAAAACATGGTAATGCACAAGTAACACTTGAGGGAGAGAATTAATTAAGGGTCTACAAGCAAAGGGAAAAAAAATGCATGACCGGCACACTCATTAACCCATGTTTAAGTGACATCATGATCTGCAAGGGAAAATATATAGTAATGGAAACTACTATGTCAAGTTTCTCCATGATATATTAGTTAAAGCAACACAATTTTAACAGAGATCACCATTTTATAAACCACTGCTAAACCATACAGAAGCAGAAGCAATGCAGGGGAAACAAGAGAAAAACGAAAAAGAAAAAACAGGAAATGGGATGCAAGACCTGCTGCATTGCTGACAGAAACGCTGTCGAAGGCCGGAAACCATGACAACGGGCGCCTTTGAATGAAACTCACAGACCTTATGGCGGCGGTAGTACCTCTTGGCCTCAACAAAATCAGCACCACACCTCTCTGCTTGACAACATGGTGGAGACGCTCCTCCTCCACCACCAGATCCTCTTCTTCCAGCTTTCTTCTGCTTCTCATTCTCTTCATATCTCAGCATCAACCCACCACCAGCCTCTTCTTCCTCCGAGTCATCCTCCACTTCATCAACAACATCCTTGTTCACCTTCTCTTTCCAACTTTGCCTTCCTTCAAAGCTCTTAGCCTCCATTGGTGACTGATAATGAGGAAGATGCCACAAATTACAATGAGGGTTGTGGTGGAAATGCAGAATGGTTGATGAGAATTATTAAGAAGAGGAGGAGCTTGGAGTTATGAAGGTGAAGAAAGTGTAAGGAATAGGTGAAAAAAGTGGAGCAGGACCACAAATACGAACTCCTTTTTCTTTTCTTTTTTTGTACCGGGCGTGTCAATATCATATAAGGTGGTGGAAATTGGAAATTTTGAATGGAATAGTGAAAAAGAAAGAGTTGAAAAGCTGAGTTTGGGGTTCCCATTTGTCTCAAACATGGATAAGTTTTGAGCTTAATTTGTCTCAGTGAGACCTAAGATCAGTTAGAGCTTCATGACCAGAAGCTTAGCTGAGCTATTGCAAATAATGCAGAAAGATGCTTGAAAATAGTATAGCAGGAGCCTGTGGCCTGTAGGGTCGTTCAGATTGCTTAATTGAGAGGGAAAATTCATTTCAAAGTGAACATTAAAGAAGCAAAACAGCAATGCATGATGCTTCATAATTAAATTTCACGTACTGGAGGCTGAGTAAATATTGATATGCAGTACAAAACTGAGCATACATCAGTGCATCTTTAGTCTGTGGTGAATGCTTTGTCTGCCACCAGTTTCTACTTTTTACCCTATGCCTCTGTTGGATGCAGAATTTACAGCATGTATCCACAGTAAAAAAGAAATCATTTGGTCATGCATTATGTCATAGATTATATATGATGTGGAGCCAATAGCTCATGGCATATGTTATGTTGGCGGTACAAGCTCACGGGTATGAAGGGGCACAGGTACATAAAGAGGCAGATTTTAGCAAGAAAAATCAAACGTGATATGACCCTTGCACCTTATGTTCACATGGTGATAGTATGAGACGAAGTACTCGATTGTTGATGCAAGCGTTTAACAAGTCATACGGTTTTGTTTTATGTACCTTTGGTGGACCTAAGATTCAATCTAGTTTGATGTTCAAAACAAAATACAAAAGCGAAAGAGAAAGCAAGTGAATGGAATTTCTACTTCCAACTGGTATGCAATAATGTTTTTGGGATTCTTTTGCATTTTGTCCATATATATATATGTCAGCATTATTGCTGTTGTCACTCGTTTATTTTGCACAATGTTTGTCGTATTTTTTAATACATTGTTGATTGCATCTCTCGTAAAATTTAAAATTTAATGAGATATACTTATATAATTTAATTTCGTGTATCTCTATGAGAGATGTGATCAACTATGTAATTAGTGATGCTCGTGTTACCATTAATTATATCACTGTTAATACTTCAAATTGAAACTATGACCTAAATCACATATCCTTGTCTGAAAGCTTAACATGGTTAAGGCTAAGATCAATAGGGTCCTTTTCGTACGTAGTCGCTTGCCATGATTAGGGCATCACCATTGTGGTCCTCAGCTTCATCAAACATTCAGCTCACTGGCTTCCGCGTCGCCTACCTATTTTTCTAGCTAGTCATAATGCGAATCCATGTGTCACAAGTTATTTTCGCCACAATATTGTGCCCATCTCTCTCAGATTTGAGTTGGGTGTTGGTCCCGATGCTCTTTAGTTCCTGGATTCTTTTCTTTGTCATGGACTTCAAGCTAGTTTTTTTTTTTTTGGTCTGAAGGACTTCAAGCTAGTTACAAGGGGGATATCAGTACTGTTTTGTTATTATTTCTAATAATGCTACGTCACGCGAAAGTATTATTACGTGTGTCATAGCGTTATTGATGGGGAATATCAAAATAATATTATCCTTATTTCATGAAAGTCTTTCTCCTTATTGTAAGCATATAAGACCTTTATCATCCATCATTCTTGAGCAATTAAATAAATAAATAAGACTTAAAAATTGAACTAACCTGGACTAGACTAGATTGGATAGGTTGGTTAATTTAGATCAATTGGGTGTGGTAGATTTGAAGTCATCTTTCAACACTAACATCAGGAAGAGAAATATCATTAAACTAAGAGTTATTTAACTAAACAATGCTTTTGTGTGTTGCTAATAATAATACCACAAGCTTGGATTTGGATTGCACTGAATCCCTAAGCCATGCCACCTCTCATACTCAAAGACGAAGTAGACTTCGAGCTTGAACTCAGATTTCGAGCCTTGAAATCAAGACCTTGAACTCAGATTTCGAGCCTTGAAATCAAGACCTTGAACTCAGATTTCGAGCCTTGAAATCAAGACCTTGAACTCAGATTTCGAGCCTTGAAATCAAGACCTTGAACTTTTAGAACTTGGGGTTTTCATATGTTCAAAACCAATAAAATTTAGCCAATTCACAAATTCAATCTATTTTCTTCAATCCAATTTAATATGAGCAAAGCTTAGGATCCGATTCGATCTGATCCGATTGATTTTGGATTGAATGGTTGATTTTAATGATGGAAAGAAAATAAATATTGGGAATGAATCAAACATGTAGGACTACACAAAATTATTAGTCCAATCTCACTCCTAATTAATCTCTCGAGAAACTATAAAGAGCAAGAAGAGGAGGAAAGTAACTAGTGCAAGAACAAGAACAAAACATAAAAATTTGAATACACAACAGGTTTGAAAAGTTTTCAGGCTGGAAAGGAGGCCTTTTCTTTCCCCCTTTGTAAACGAAAGGAGGGTTGAGGAAAAAGAGGGTCAACCAATCTTGAATTATTTGGTCCCAACCCAATGTTTTTTGGCCCGACATGTAGACCACATCGTATTCATGCATGTGATTCTCCACACTACAAATTGAAGCATTTGGCTAGGTTTCCTTCTTCAAGTTGCTTTTCTTATCTCCTTCTCCTTTTTCATCATCTTTAATTCCTCGATCCTCAAGCTTTTTAGATCCATTAATGGCCAAGGAAATAGACTGAGCATTCGATACCCACAACAACGTTACTCTGAATATATTACACGTGCAAATCCGACAACAAAAGCACCTTCTATACTGTTAGGCACTTGTGTTTTGTATCTCTCTTCAATTTGATTGATATTTTATAACTTAAACAACACACAGAACTTTGACCCACTCCCTTCCTGTAGTTTTCATTAGTATTTTTACAACAATAACAAGTATGAAAATTGGTGCACTGATATTTATTCGAAAGAGAAATCTACTTTACGCAATTCGACCACATTACTGACCACT